AAGACCTAAAGGTTCCTAAGATTCCATCTCATGTAGAATACTGTATATTAATTATTTTTTACCAGATATTTTACAAATACCTCACCTCATCCTGTATGTAATCAATAATAATGTATTTTAGGGTAGAAAGACACAGACTATCAATATAAAAAATATATTTAAGCCCTTCAAATTCTTGTGTCCTTTTTCTTTAGTTTCTGAATTAATATATTATTGGATTTATTGAATAAAAATAATTACAAAGATTTTGATGTAGAGGAGACAAAATCGATATGCCACTGTTTTACGACACCTCCAAGTTTCTAAGGACCAGATCCTGAGTTTTGCAAGGTTTTTGTTGAGTTTTGAGTGTCTAGGGTATAAGTTTGAAGTGCTCTTCTATAGTGCCTGTCTTTATTTCCTGCTTGGATATAATTTCTTTGTGCTGAAGGTGTTCTGGAAGGAGTTTAATGTCATGACCCTACAGAACCCAAGAAAAATAATGTATAGTGAAGAAGATGCCCTTCAGAGAATGTTCGAAACTATATTTGTTTCTATTCTGTGTGAATTATGGAACACAATGTGTGTTTAAGAATCCCAAAGTAACTCCCGCTAAGCCATAACTGTGTGTAGGATATTTACAGACCTCACACTCCTGGATATTTCATCACGGAGAACAATGGAATTTGGGATTTGACTGAAATGTAGAATCTATCTCATGACTTCCTCAGATTGTTTTTCATTCCATTTGCTAAAATATTTCAGCTCTTTTGAACAAAAAGAAACACCTATGATTTTTGTAGCTACAGTCGTAAGATACAATATCTGTATTTTATACAATGTCTCCAGTGAAGTACACAGATTTGTATCTAGATTGTATTGTTACTTAAAAAAAAAAAAAAAAGAAAACATTTGGAACCCAGGTTTGTTACTTAACAGAGTAGCCGGTTCTTATTACATTTATTAGACTCAGATAATATAAAAAGTCCTTTCTCCCTTTGGCCCCCAAAGAAATGTAGCTTAGGGTAGCAGATCCAATATTACAGTAACTGAAGTAACACAAAACTGCATCCCATTATCTATTTAAGGGCAAGTAAATGGGGAGTTGGTCAAGGGGAAGGGGAGTGGAAGGAGGTGGCTGGAGAAAAAAGGTCAGAGTGGGATCCCTACCATTGAACATTGTTCAATAAAAAATAAGGCTAGGGGCACCTGGGTGGCTCAGTCAACCGACTGAGTGTCTGACTTTGGCCCAGGTCATGATCTCACAGTTCGTGGGTTCGAGCCCCGCATCGGGCTCTGTGCTGACAGCTCAGAACCCAGAGCCTGCTTCAGATTCTGTCTCTCGCTCTCTGCCCTCCCCTGCTCATGCTCTGCCTCTCTTTGTCTCAAAAATCAACATAAAAAAAATTGTTTAAATAAGTCTAGTATAACTGGGATCTAATACAATTAGTACGGCCCTATGAAACTGGACTGTATAAAAACTAAGCACAAACGAGGAGTAGCCACTAAAAGCTCTTCAACAAAGTACCAGTTTAGTAAAGGAAAGCCTACAACAATGTTTATATAAGATACCTTGTGTTTTTAAAGTATATGCTTGCACAGCTTTGGAGGCACAAGTAAAACTTACTTCACGGGCAGTAATAAGTAAAACACTAGGTAAAAAGTTTCCCAGAATTATATGTTGAGGTTAATGCTGACACAAAGGTCATGCTTTTCTGTGCTCTTTATAAAGCTCCACTAGACACTTTAAAACCACAACAGATCTCCCTCGGACGGACATGGTAACCAAAGCCCTGTCCCCAGCTTGGAGTGGGAAGGCGTTTGCAGTTGGAATGCAAGTCGAGCAGCAGTTTCCAGACTTTCTGAGCTTTTGTGACAATGTTACGAAATTCTGTGGCTTTAAACATGGCCTTATCTGAGTAATTTCATCACAGTGTCCCAAAGCCATGTTCAAGTGACTTTGTTTTTCAGTATAGTGTAAAAATCCAATTTCTTGTGCCCATCAGCTTCAACCATGCTTAAGCATCTAAATGCTGCTTTATCTTTGTTTCAGAGTAATACTCATCAACTCTTCGTTCTTCTTTTTCTCAGCCCGTCTCTGTTAAATAATTGTTCTATAAGTATATGAGCCTGGGGAGTTACTTATTTAAGGAACCCCACAGCACGTCTCGTATATAAATGTTTGTTGCCACGTCCTTCAGATTTGAAAGACTATTCATCTCTCAGTGAAGCTGGCCTGCAGGCTAGAATCCACATGGCATTTTAGTCTGTTGTTATCAGGTCGGTAGTGCCTTGGTTAGGTTCCTCATCTTACAAAGTAGGATGCTCCCTGCAGGTCCCCGGGTTTTACAAAGTCGGTTGAACTTTACAGCAACTGGTAAAAGATTCAGTTAAAAAGAAACCCTTAAGGGGCATCTGGGTGGCCCAGTCAATTGAGCGTCAGACTTCAGCTCAGGTCATGATCTCGGGGTTTGTGAGTTTGAGTCCTGGATCAGGCTTGCTGCTGTCAGCCCAGAGCCCACTTTATATCCTCTGTCTCCCTCTCTCTCTGCCCCTCCTCTGCTCGCACTCCCTATCAAAAAATAAAATAAACATTAAAAAAACATATTAAAAAAAATAGAAACCCTTAAGTATGATTTTGTGTCCCTGATAATGTTCCTCGGCACACAGATCGCACACAGACATTGATGAGCACGCATAATGTGATTTGAAAACCCCTGTGGACGTGTGCACAAACCCCTGCAAGGGCCACTTTCCTCAGGCCTAGACTGACGATTTTTCTCTTCCAGTCTGAGAGGTCTTTACTAATCCTTTACAACGCACCAAGGACCTAGTCTTGACTTTGTTTCCTTTGTAGACAGTGGATGTGACCTGTGATTGGTTGGCTCCTCTGTCTACATAAGCCACCACCACTCCTGTCCTCTCTCCTCATTCATACCTTCTGAGCTCTCAGTAGGTACAGGGCTTTGGTCTAAGCCTAAGCATCATTTACAACTTGCAATTTTTACACACATTTCCCTGTAAGAGAATTTTTCAGAAACAATTTCCTAGAAGAGCCTTTCTCCCTCACCCAGTTGGGAACGTTTTCAGGATCACCAAGTCTTGCATTTCATAGAGAAGGCATCCAATCCGCTCTGGTGAGTGAGCTTATCCTTTTTGCTTTCTTCTCTTCTTTTTTAAATTTATTTATTTAGAGAGAGAAGGAGAGAGAATCCAAAGCAGAATCCACCCTGTCCGCACAGAGCCCGATGCAGGTCTTGATCTCACAAACTGAGATCATGACCTGAGTCAACCACTCAACCAACTGAGCCATCAAGCACCCCTGAGCTATTCCTTTAAATCTTGCTGCCAGCTTTGAGCACGTTTCAAATTCTGCTGGACACATAAAACATCAGTCTGCATTTACTAGCAAAGCTGGCCCAAAACAGTTGGGACATCCTCTTCTGTAAATTGGAGGAATACCCAGCTCTCCTTTCAGACGCTCTGACCACACCCTATATAAAAGGTTTACGGGAGGTAGAAGCAGCAATATTCCTAGGGTGAGATTTTGTAATCCTAAATGAGCAGGTGGACCAGGCCGCTGGGAAGCAGGCCTCAGCCACTATCTCTAGGGAATGAAGACTTCATAGATTCTTACACCCTAGTCACGTAAACTATCCTGGCCAGTCTTGAATGC